CTATGATGGAGAACTTATATTATTTATATATAACTCATACATTCATATTACATACAGAGGCACTTTAGAGAGGTGATTAAAGATTACACAAAAAGTGTTATAAATCATTTTATAGAGACCTCACTCATATATACATATAAATATATAATATTAACATATTATATTATTATTAATATATTATTACATATTCGCTCAGCCTAACAAGTAACTTTCAATTTGTAAATGACCATGACTTTAATGGATAACTTAAATATGTAAATGCTAAATCAAAAGCAGAGAAATACAGAGAGAGAAGCTAAAAAAAAGGAAAGGAAATTAGAGCACACCACACAAAGTCACCAAAATTAGGTGTGTTTAAAATATGGACAATAAATACAGGGTTTCCACCTTCCGTGCAATGCATTTCCATGACACTTCCTAGACATTCAGTTGTGATTGTTGGATGAAATAATAATATTAAAAAATTATAAAATTTTAATAATTATTTTATAGAGACTGCACTCACTAAGAGCAGATTCTGTAATATTAAATATTATATTATTATGATATTATATATTTGCTGAGCATAACTACTAACTTTCACAATATACATTTCCATGGTTTTAAGATTTTATTTGTTGTTATTGTTAACTATTAAAAAGAATTTTTGTTAACTGAAATGAAGCTGAAATAAATATATAAGTAAAATATAAGTAAATAAAAAATAGATATATTATAAGTTAAAAACTTAAACTAAATTTAAAATGTTGCCTAATTTTGTTTTAAGTTTTTAAAAAGTTTTTAAAAAATAAAAAATGAAAAAATAAAAATGTAAAAACCTAAAATTTTCTTTAGTTTCTTTTTTAACTTGTTGCCCAATTTTAATTTTATAGAGACTGCACTCATTAAGAGCAGGTTCTATAATATAAAATATTATATTAATTCGATATATTATTATATATTCTGAGCATAACTGGTAATTTTTACTATATATATTTCCATTGCTTTAAGATTTTATCCATTTTATTCAGCTGTGTTGTTATTGTTAGCTAAAACTAGAACTATTAAAAACTTTTCATTAACTGAAATAAAGCTGAAATAAAATGTAATAGAAATAGAAAAACCTAAACGAAAAGAAAGTACAAAAAAGACTAAATTTAAAACTCAAATAAATAGAAAGATAAAATATTATATATATATATATATATATATATATATACATATACATACATACATACACATATATACATACAAGATGTTATAGTAATAAATATAAAATATTTTTTTTAAATAAAGTAATAATAAAATGTAGACATAATACCAAAATAACACTGTTATTCACTTTTCAAGCACAATTTTTAAATTCCATATTTATTTTTGTGATTGTGGGAACCCTGTATGTAACGCTTCATAAATTCAGCATGAAATTAATATGACAGCATTATGCATCCGCCACCAAAACAGTACCTGAACACATCACAGCTGATAATCCATGAATAATGGCTGAACAGCACTTTGGAAAGAGCAAATCCAGAAGACGAGTTTGTCTGTGTCAGTTTAACGTCCTACGATCGCGCTCATACTTACAAAATAGATGTCAGTGGTTGATGCGACCTCTTCCTCCAGAGACTCCCGGCTCTGGGACTCTGAGAGTCTGTCCACGTCAGGACACTGCATTTTCGGGCTAGAACCGAACGGCTCTGCTGCTTCAGGGGCCAGCGCTGTTTCGAGGGTCCCGGTTTCTGTCAAAGGAGCTGTTTCCACAGGAACTGTTGTCTGGGTGTCACCAGGAAGTGTTGCCTGGGAGACGGTTTCCTGGGTAACGGGTGCTGAAGCGGCTGTTTCTGGGACAAGGTCAACAGTGTCTGGAGGAGGAACATCCATCACCGCACTTAAAAAAAGAGAAGAGGGCAAATACATTAAAAATTATTAAGACTCAAATCTTTTTATAATAGGGGTGAAATGTAAAATAATCATTAGCTAATAATGAAAACAATTTTTTTAGAATAATAATAATATATAAAATAAATGTAATAACAGGGATAAATATAAAATGATTATTAGTGATTGATTAATTAATTAAATAAATAAAAAATGTTGCTCCGCGTTATCGTCCGGGTAGACCTATTGTTCCAACCACTGAAGATAGATTCTGGTTTGTCTCAACTGCTCTGTGTACCAATAAATGCACATGAAGTAGAGGTTAGAAGCCGTTGCTCCCGTCAAATTAAAAAAGGTTAGAGAAAAACATTCTGCGCCATGGTACAACAGTAATACCCATTCTCTCAGGAAAGAAACTCATAATCTGTTTATTCAAAAAAAACAAAAACTTCTTTGTTATTTAAAATTTGTTGGTTAATTTTCGTTTTAGTCTCTATAAAATAAATTATTTTATAGAGACTGCACTCACTAAGAGCAGGTTCTATAATATTTAATATTATACTATTATGATATTATATATTCTGAGCATAACTAGTCATTTTCACTATATATTTACATCACATTAATGTTTTATCCATTTTATTCACTTGTCTTATTATTGCTAACTAAAACGATTAAAATTGTCTTTGTTACCTGAAATAAAGCGGAAATAAAATTTAATAGAAATATTAGAAAATATTTCAGTATTCAATATTTAATAGTTAGAAAACTCGAACGAAAATTAGAAATGTTGCCTTGGCAGCTAAAAGTAGAAATGCTAAAATTACTAAAACTCAAATATTTAGTGCAGGCTCACACATTTGCATTTATGCATTTGGCAGACGCTTTTATTCAAAAGCAACTTACAAAGTGACTTACAGTGCATTCAAGATAAATATATATATATATATATATATATATATATATATCTTTTCAGTTCATGCAGAATCAAAACCATTACCTTGTTTCTCTCAATCAAATAACTGAAAATAGGATGAAAATATCAGAGACCGAGTGCTGCTGGTATGAGATTCATATGCATGTTTATGGTAGTGAAAAATCGAGGTAATGTTTGCAGCACGTACTGCGTCAGAGAGACGTCTGGCTCCTCCTCCTCCTCTTCTCTCTCTCTCTTCACCTCCACCTGCACAGTGATGGTCTGCTGCTCTTCCTCATGCACGTGCACCACTTCATGCGTCCTGCAAAACAAGCACATTCAACTGGAAAAACGCACTAAACTCATTAAACACGGGTTTTCTCTCACGGCTTCGTGCACTGCAAAAAAGGATTTTCTGACTCTGTATTTTTGTCTTGTTTTCCACTACAAATATCTCTAAACATTCTTAAATCAAAACACATTTACTTGAGAAGCAACTTAAGATACGAAGTCATGTTTCAAAATGAATGTATCAAAATGAAGTGAGTTTATGCTTAAAACAAGGTTATTTTTCAGATCCCATTGGCAGATATTTTTTTTCTTGTTGTCAGCATAAACTCACTTAATTTGAAATACATTTTTCAGAAAACAAGACTGAATAATTCTTGATTTAAGAATATTTACATACTTGTACTGGAAAACAAGGCAAAAATACGAAGAAATTCGATAATCTAGCTGACGTGAGCATGCAAAGCCAGTTTAATATGTTTGTAAATATAAATACAGTCATGCAAATGAAGGTCACCTTCCCTCAGCGTCTTTCAGAGGCAATGTGTGTCTTCTGTGAAAACAATGGAGAACAAGTATATTCACAGATATTCATATGCATGTGGTCAGAGCATTATAAAAGTATCTTAATGCATTAATTATGCTCTGTAATGCACCTCATAATGCATTGCATGATCTCATGAATAATTATAACCACAATTATAATACAGTATAATAATTATCTATTTATTTCTACGCCTTGAGAAAGTCTAATGCAAACAAACAACCAATTTCAGATGTAACAAGGTGTCTGCAAATATTACAATATGTTTTAACTTTGGTTACAATTATTATGGTATAATAATAATGTAATATAATACTGATATAATATATGATATAATAAAGATGCATTATAATGTACATTATGAATGCATTCTACATAAAGGCTTTAAGTGAAGTGATACTGTTGTTTCAAGACTCTTTCGATGAGGTGCTTCATGCTGACCTGTAGCGCGGCTGCTCTGTGGTGTCTGACGGAGAGTGCTCTGGGATAGATATGGAGGTGTTTGAGGACAGAGTTGTGGCCACAGACGTCGTGGTCGCTTCCTCGAATGACGGAGGAGTGCAAGACTGCAGACCTGAGAGAGTAAATAAGCAAAAAACTGTTTGGTCTTTTGTGCTCAACAGAAGAAAGAGGATGGAGGATGAGTAAATTAATTTTTGGGTGAACTGTCCCTTTAAGTCAACATTCCGTTTTATCACTTATATTGGAATGTTACATTGAAATGTTTGAATGTTACTTTTTCAACGTTAAATGTACTTTTAAATGAACATTCCGAAACTAGTAGTAACATTTAAAAAAGGTCCAACTAAAAGGTTTCAGGAAAAAAGTTCAATGTACTTTTCTTAGAGACCAGACAAAATTGAATAAACATTCTATTAATGTTACTGGAAGAACAACTTTGAGAAACCTTTAGCAGGACGTTCTGAGAATGTTCTCTGTTAGCTGGGCTGCTGACCGTGCAGAATATATTGCAAAATGTAACTTTTTTTTATTGTATATGATATTATGTATTAAAATTTCCAAAACTTTGAAAAGGATTTTTAAGAATGCTACATTGCTGTCAAATGACCTTACTATGTTGCATGTTTAATTCAGAAAGTCGTGTCCTGTTATCAAGTCGAAGAATAAATATGATTATTTTGAAATTTGAAAGCAACTCTTTTTTAACTTCAGGCAGTCGGATCAAATAAGAAATCACATTCAAGTGCATTGCATTATGGGATTCATTCTACTCTAATGCTGTTCTAAACATGGCCAAAAGCTTTTCATGGCTATAAATGATCAAACAACAACAAAAACAACAGCAATAGTCTGAATCTGCGTTTGAGGCATTATGTTACCATCATTATATATATATATATTTTATTAATTGCTTGGCGTTAATTTCATTGCACTCAGAATTGATTTAAAGATATAAACTCTAAATTCAGAGAAAAAAGTTAGAATTGTGAGATTTAAACTCTATGGAAGTCTGTTTCCGCCATTGAATAAAAAAATTAAAAAGGTCATTGCGACTTTTTATCTCACAATTCTGACTTTCTTCTCTCGCAATTACGAGTTTACATCTTGCAATTCTGACTTTTTTCTCAGAATTGTGAGATATAAACTCGCAATTCTGAGAACATAGTCTTTTTTCTCCCCTCAAAATTGGACTTTATAACTCGCAATCGCAATATCTCACAATTCTGAGAAAAAAGTCAGAATTGCGAGAAAAAAAGTCAGAAATGCGAGATATAAACTCGCATTTGCGAGAAAAAAAACAACAGTATTTTGAGTTTATATCTCACAATTCTGTGAAAAAAAGTCCGAATTGTGACATAAAAAGTTGCAATAACCTTTTTTCATTTTTATTCAGTGGCGGAAATGGGCTTCCATAGGCTTCTATGCTGATCAAAAGCATGCACATAAAAAAGAAAGAAGAAAGTAAGCAAATCACCATGGTTTTCCAGCACGGGGAAGCTGCGCGCTCCTCTCAGATCATAGATGTTCTGGTCTCTCTCTGAGGTAAACTGACTGGCCGAGCAGGCCGCTCCGGGGCCGCTGAATTTGGACACGGTCAGCGCCACACGGCCCTTCTTAGCCGGAGAAGCCTTCAGCGCTGGAGAGAGCAGAGGAACAGAATCAGACTGACAGGTTAGAGGAAGTGTCTCCTTTTCATCACTACAGTAGTTCTGTTGGTCTCTCACAGCTGCTTTTCCTGAACACAGTGCTGCTCATGAACCGGAAGAAGCGGTCAGCGTAGAAGTTCGGCCGGTGGACAGAAACAGTGTCCTGAGAGACAGAACAGACACAGAGGAGAGATATTATTATCCTGATCAGGCAAAATGCGTCTAAATAATAACACATCTCTTCTTTGAACTATTTATATTTAGTTCAATGTATATTAAAGCTTCTCAATGTCATTACTGAGGAGCAAATTATCATTCAAATCGCCGCTGCAGAGACACATTATTATATTTAGCATATTTTGCTTAAATAAAATGAAGTCAAAGTTTAGATTTTTTGACTTCTGATATGTTTTCATGACAATTAAGCACATTATACATTTTTTACCAGTACCGTACAAATTTTGTATTACAATAATGAGAATCTATTAAGAATCATCACTGAGAATAATGAGAATGATAAGTAAAACATCCATATGCGAGATTATTTTTTTTTCCAGTATGATAATTGGAATTTAGGAGAAAATTAATTATTCTAATTATCCTCAATAATCATGAAAATGCTGTCTAAAATAAGACTTAATTTTCTGTTTGTATAATGATGTTTTTATTTTAAGGTGAAATATGATTGGGACCCGTTTCTATGAAATTCACCTTTATAGAAATTGCAGTAGCCAATTTGATTTACACAAATATACTTTCAAGTGTACAAATGTGCCTAATAAACATAAAATCTGATCCGTCAAACACACAGGAAGAATCCAGTGTGTCTTACAGGAAGCAGTATGTGATAGTAAGTATTTGGGGAGAAAATGACCGACTGGAAATGAAGTAGAAAGAAACAGAAGTTGGAGAGTGAATGGAAAGAGACGGTCTCTCAGACTTACACTCACACTATCTACAGAGAAACCAAACACAAGCGATCCTTATCAAAGTCTGTCCACTGTCTCAGTGAATCTCCACTACACACACACACACACACACACACACACACACACACACACACACACACACACACA